TAAATTATTTATTACTTTTAAATAAGTTTTTTTTTTAGTTTAAATGGGGGGAAAAAATCAAACCGGCTCAGAAGAAAAAAAAAAACCCTTTTTTTACCCCTTAAAAGTTAGCCCGACTCAAGTTGACAAGTTGCTAAGTCGAATAAATTCAATTTTGCCTTCTTAGTTGAATTTATTCCATGTTTGGTGACCATTTATTTAGAAAAATATTGTTTTGAATAGTGAATTTTTGGAGAATGTACGGTTAAAATATAAAAAAAATTGAATTTACGTGTAAAATATTTTATTGTGTGAATATGTGGTTGAAAATGAATATATATAAAAAAGAATTTTAAAAGAATGAGAGATAAGCCTGGGTTTCATAAACTTTGCTACATCCACCATTGTCTTATCTTTCATCAATTGCACATGAGGGTGCATTTGTCACACTCAAATTAAAGAAAATAGACAACATAAAAAACTTTATGAATTGTGATGTCTACTCTTATCTACTCTTACCTATTAAATATGTCTCTACAATCTAATCTACTTGATATTCTTAAACATGTCATAACAAAATTTAAAAAAAAAAGTATGTTTAAAATAAATTTAAGGTCAACCATAGAATAAAATATTTTCCAGTTGTCGCTTGTCAATAAATTTTTTCAAATATTATTTCCCAGTCGTTATTAAACTTTGAACATTTTTCAAGTTATCACTGAACTTCCCTGATTGTTTCCCAATTGCTATTGAACTTTAAAATTTCCTCGGTTTGTCATTAAACTTACCAAAATGTTATTCAACCATCACTTGCCGTTTAGAAAATGCATATCGCTCATTATTTTGATGACATGGCATATACTAACATTGAAGTCTATTACAAGTGAAAAATTTCACTTGTTATGTCATCATGTCTGTTAACTTTTAAAATAGTAAACGACAGAATGACGAATGTGATAAGCTTTTGATAATTTCAGTAGTAACTCGAAAAACTTTTAAAAATCAATAGCAATTAAAAAACATTTTGTGAAAGTTCAATCACAACTATAAAAACTTTTAAAGTTCAATAAAAATTGAAAAGTATTTAAGAAAGTTTATTTTAGTATTTATCGGGGTTCTAAAAAGTATAAAATGTGACGAGATGTGGAGGCCAAACTTCAGACTAAGCGAGCCTAAACATAAAAAACGTTTTGTTATTTTAATATCATTTTAAATTTTAAAATTAATTTAAAAGTTATTTAACAATTAAAGAAAAAAATAATAAAATAAAAGCAAGATGAGGGGTGTTTTGCGCCTAGCACCGCTCTTTAGAACACTAGTATTTATATCTCTCTTTTTCTTTCATTACATTAATTGGCACATCTCGTTTTAATAAAAAAATTTGTCCTAAAAGTCTGATAGGAGAGCGTAAATGGCTTACTTGTCCATCTTTATTTGATAGTTAAGTACGACAAATATTTTTTTCCTCATTTCAACGTACGCAAATGTAATATTTCAACAGAAATCATCATCAAATGACAAGATATGCTAAATAATGAAAAATTGAAGATAATGATTTACAAAAAAACAATTAAAGAAATAAGTACAATAATCAAATATTGTGGATCTTAAGTGCAATTAAATATAGTGTAACATATAAAAATTATTATGTGAATATAATTACCTCAATAAGTACATAATTGAGAATTATTTTAGGGATCATTGTAATAATTATTTTCTTAACCTTTTTTCAATCAAATTCTTATCTGTAACTTCCACTAGTTAGCATATCTCGTCTTTGAAAATGATTTATATCAAAACAGTTTGTTTTCATGCTTTAAAATGAGGGAAAACATTTTTTCGTGCTTTTTATTTTTATATGATGAAAAAATGAATTATTTTTATACAACTTCAACAGACTTTTGAACAAAAAAATGTTATCAAATACAAAATGTGTTAACTAATCAAAAGTTTGAGGACATGAATGAATTGAAAAACTTTAGAAACCAATTTGGTAATGCTCTGTCAATTAATAAATAAACCTGATTCTTCCAAGTATTAAATTCAAGAAATATGTATTTTTATTTTCTGATGTCAATCAATATACTTCACGATTGTGCTGAGTTAAACAAAAAGTCGAAATTTATATGAAAATGTGTCTCCGGTAGATAGTTACACTGCACTTTCAAGAGCAATTTCATTGCCTACGTCAAAGGTTTTAGTCAATTCAGATATATCTAAAAAAAAAAAAAAGGAGGTTCTCGTATAATAAGAAGCTCGTCCACAACCCAACATTCAAAAGTAACATGTTTATGACTTAGCCCATGTTGGAGTCCATTTTAAAAAATAGATTTTTTAAAAAAATGATTTTTGAAGAATGTATAATTAAAAAGTACGATTTTTTTTACACCCAGTTTGTTTCCCATTATTTGTACTCAAGAATTAACTTTTTTTGCCCTTTTTTTCCAACCCATGGGTCCCACTGTGAGATGGTGAAGTCAAAGGATGCGGCTGTGGACCAAGTAACGGCTAGAATTTTCATTAAAAAGAGAAAAAAATTGGTAACAAACAAGGGCCTAGTTTTACGTACAAAATGATTTTATTAAGAGAATGTGTCTCAAATAGGGACTTAATAAAATCTCATAATAACGTGCAACACAAGCTGAATAACTAGTGAAGTCGAGCACTTACGAGAACTAATATCAGCACAAGACTATAACATATCAATAGAGCTCATGACATTGACATGGAATATTATGTATGAAGTATGAACAATAATTCTTTATCTTCCCTTCAAAAAATTATAGTTCTAAGAACACTAATAATTGTGGATCCAAGGATCTATCGACTTTTTCTTCGAAGAAAACTTGGTTTGGAGATGGCAAAAAATAAGTAATAAATTAATACTCCTAGGAAATGTTATAAACCAATATTATTATTAACAAAGCACTTTAATACACTCCAATATTTTTTCATGCTCGTGATTTTGGCCATTCTCAAACATTTGAAATGACAGCATGTTAGTAAAAATCCTTAGTTGTCAAAAGAATCAAAACCTATAGTAAATATGTAATACGTAAAAGCGACTTACCAAACTCAGTTGATATTCATGAGAAATGGACAAGAATTGTGTTGAAAACTATAAAATGAAGAAGCCACAATAGCCAATCAACGTCAAAGTTGCACCTTTTTCTGTCGTAATATGACCTTCAATGAAAAAAGAAATCCCAGTATATAGTTGTTGTCAACTGGCATCGTTAAATTGGTCGATGGAGATGAAACGGTGAACACCTCCCAACAGAAAACTCGGTAATTCCTTTCCCCGAGGTCATTTTGTACATCTTCGAAATTCACATCTTTGCGTATTTCTTGGGGAACAGAAGATGGACCCAGGAGATTTAGCTGCTAGCTGCCCAAACTCCGATTCCTCATCATCACTGTCAATATTACTCGGCAACATCCTGTTTTGGTAACCTCGACGCCGGAGAAGGAAAACATTGAAGTAGTAGCTTACCAAAGCGTCCTTGTCTTTTCTAGGCAAAAGCTTTAAAAGTTCGTCCCAGAAATATTCGACCTGCGATAAAGGGTTCAACTTCACCATGTCTTGAAATCTGTTTTGTTCCTCTTTCGTCCAACAAAGCGCAACTTTCTCACCCATACTATCAAATTTCCATCTGTCAAAAGCTGAGCATAACTCGAGCTTCACTCTCGAGCTTTTCTGAGCAACGTGAAACTTGACACATTCGATAGATCCAGGGAACTGGCAGCCACAGGAATCTTGTCTTCCTTTTCCAATACGGTCCCTTTCAATTAGGACTCCCTTATGTTCACATTTTTCCGAAGGCCAAATTTGGGTACCTAACCACGCAGAATCAATTTCATTAGTCTTCCCAGTGAATTCTGGTATATTTGCTTGAAATAGAGAGCCCAAAGGAATTCGTTTCCGACACTGATAATTGCCCCATAAAGCAACAGAATACGCCATTGAATCAGACTGTTTATCAGCAGGATACTGAGAGAGACAAAAATCAGATGATAATGACTCCGAACCAATTCGAGCCCTTTTAAAAGA